AACTGAAGTACTTATTAAAGCAGCATCTGTTGACTGCAGCCTCATCCACAGAATACTAAGGCAACCTGTAAGGTTTGTAAACTGATAGGAAAACAGAGTAAACTCTCAACATACCTTTGGGGTTGGAAGCCTGGTAAAAGAAAGAACAAGCCACAGGCTTCATGTCTGGGAACTGATGCCAGCCTGATATGATGAAACCTTCCTCCCTCTGCTGGCTGTGAGGGACCTGTGTGATATGGGTTCAGACAATCTCATTCCAGTTCCTAATGCGTGTGCGTCCGCAAAAAAACGTGTTTAATTCAGAACTTATTGACAATCCCATTTGGTGGCAAAGTATGGTTCGAGACAGAAGAGGAAATTATGTCATCCTATTGTCGTAGGGGCATTCTGTTCAGACTGGGGCTGAGGCACACTGCCATCATGTTTTAATTTCCCTAAGTGTATTCCATACTGATTAAAACCATATCATCAGCACAGCTACTTTACAACTACCTTAACCATTTGTGACGATGCTGTCACTTTAAGGTTATTTTGTCATTTTAATTTGAAGAAAGGTGTAAGGCAGACATACAGAGCTGTCTCTAAGAAAGTAAACAATTTGTGAGGCCTTGGGGTTTTTTAAAAGTTGAAACAAGGGAAGCAGCCTGGGTGTGGCCAGATCTCACAGACCAAGCTTTCCAGTTTTTCTTTATTTTTTAGGTTTACCCAGAAGCCTTTGGGGATTCAAAAGAGTTGGAAGCTTCAGTGAATATTTCCCAGCTGCTACTTACTCTGAATTTCCTCTTGATTTTTTTTTCCTCCTGGATTGGAGAACCGCAGGTGTGAATTTGTGTCTGAATTTGACTTTTTGCCAAGGTGTGTGTTTATGGAATGTTACACACTGGAACAATTAACTAGTAATAGGTACTATACCTATTATTTGGTTAAGTTTTCTAATAGTAAAGTTATGCTAAATTCCGCTTTCTTTTGTTTGTATTTTAACTATAGTGTTAAAATAAATTGTGTTTTGCTTAACGTTGAATAATCTGACCAGTCACATTGCATCTGGAACATGGCACTTCACATCAAGCTTAAAAATAATGAAAAGTTAGGATCTAAGCTACCTTCTTAAAATATATTGAGGGGGGTCTGGTCTGGTCGATAACACGTTATTCAGACTTTGGTTTCCTTTCTTTCTATATCCAGAAGTGCTCTTACACACAATTGAATGGTTTTGTTCCATCACCAAATCACTCGTTAATTTTTTCTATCTATTAACCATCACCAGTAAATCACCCATATTTTCCAATTAATTAATTTACATGCAAAGCCCTTTAACAGCAATGTAAATCACCAAAGGTGAGGCAGAGGTAGGGAGAGAGGGCAGACTTTGGGTTCAAATATCATCTGTACATGGCGTGACTGGTAATTGTAACACCAATTGGTGACATCCTCCAGTTAGACAGGCAGAGAGAGAAAACATTGGCACTTCAACACAACCTTGATAACAATTGTAATTAAACTGTGGAATGGTCCTTTCATACAAACATAGAATAACGTATCACAGGAAGTCATTCACCCATATGTCTCTGCCAGCTCTTTGAAAGTGCACTCCAACAAGTCCTGCTTTCCTTCTCTCTGTCCATAGCACTGTAAACATTGTCCTTTCGAGAATTCATCTGACTTCCTTTAGAATCTGCTTCCACCAAGACGTTCCAAATAATGCCAAGTCACTGCATAAATTAGAACTTTCCTTCATCACCTAAGGTTCTTTTGCCAATTGCATTAACTTTTCTTGTATTACAATACAATGAGCAGGATTAAAAGACCTAAAGCTGGAAAACAAATGTAGGGATCAAAATAATCTCACTAACAGTTCAAATGATTTGCATAGAACCATATGTTACAATACTATGGCTTTAAGGGGTGTATTTGCCCTGATATCTTTAATGAAGAAAGGTTGAAACAGAGGTGCCAAGCAGTTTGCTCCAATGCCAATAAAGTATACAACGTGTGAAGCTTTGGAATTTTTTCTAAATTGGAACAATAGTTTGAATGGGTGGGATCAAACTCCCACAGAACCAGCATTTTTAGTTTTAGTTTCTCAGCAGCAGTTGCTGCTGGTGTACTGAAGCTGGATGTAGAAGCTGTTTTTTCTCTCTGCATGTTACAGCTAAAAACTGGGGAGATCTCTCCCTGCTGCTAGAATTGCATGTGAGACCATCTATTTTAGTGAATTTGCCTTTGTTAAGGGTGTGTTTATGGGACATTGCTATATTGGAACAGTTACTGTTTAGCAGTTAAATAATCTATTGTTCTGTTAAGATTTCCAGTAGAGTTGTTATTCTAATTTCTTCTTTCTTTTGTTGTGTTTTTACAATAAGTGAAAGAATAAAGTGTGCTTTACTTCAAGACTGGTAGTTTGACCAATCAAATTGCGTCTGGAACGCAATGCCTGGCACTTGCCTTTAAACTAAAATGGTTAGGGTCTAGGCTATCTTCTTTATATATTTTGATGGGGTTTGGTCTGGTCCATTACATACAGAAAAGCTATAGTACAGAAAGGAGCCATTCAGCTCATTGTGTCTGTGAGATATCCACCCATTCTAACCCACAGTCCATAGTCTTGTAGGATACAATGCTTCAGGCGCAAATCCAAGTTTGTTTTAAATTAGTGGAAGGCTTCTGCCTCAACCACCAAACCTGCCAGCAAATTCCAGGCACTCTTCTTTCTCTGGATGAAAAGGTTTTTCCTTGTGCCCCCCACCCCGCTCAACCTCATCTTATACCAATCATTTTAAATCTATATTCCCTGGTAACCGGCTTGTCCACTGGGGGAATGTCTGCCCTATCCATTGTATCCAAGCCCCTCATTATTCTATACACTTCAATTAAGTCACCTTCAGCCTCCTCTAAAGAAAATGACTAATCTTTCCTCATAGCTGCAATTTTCAAGCCCTGACAACGCTCTTCTGTGTACTCTCTGTGATGCAATTATGTCCTTTCTGTAATATGGAGACCATATCCGGATACAAAGCTCCAGCTGTGGCCTAAGTAGAGTCTTGTACAGTTGCAGCATTACATCCCTGCTTCTGCATTCAGCGTCACCCCAATGAAGGAAAGCATTCCATGTGCCTTCTTCACGTTCACTTACCTACTTATTGGGACATTCAGAGACCTGTGGACGTGCACTTTAAGATCTCTCACTTCCTCTCAAAATCCTCCCACTTGTGTATTCCCTTGCTTTACTTGAATTCCTCAAATACATAGCCTGGCAAATCTCCAGATTGAATTTTATTTGCCACTTTTTTCTTCTCCCCCCCAGCCAAACAATACATGTCAATTTTTATTGCTGGGTCAAACAAATGCTTTCATCAGCACCTATAATGTAACACTGCCAAATAGCTGAAAACACTCAATTTAAACTTGTTAACATTAATTTATTTTCATGAATATAGAGGAGGTGCAAAACTGATCAAACCACATGAAACAGTAGGCAACCTCTCTTTTTTGTGTCCAAAAATTGTGGCTTCAATCTCCATTCTGCATATAGACTGGCTGCGTAGCAAGGTAGTACTCTGGTAGATGTCTGTCAATCTACCATTGATCATACTTGGAACCTTTGCTCAACAATTAATACCTGGATTAGATCCCCAGACTGGTGGGAGAGTTGAGTGGATAACAATGTTAACTACGAACGGCATGATTTCTTTCTTATGTTCATGGTCTCTTATTTGTTGCTTCTTAATCCATTCAGTCTCAAAGCAGCAGCAATATTCATCTTGCCTGGATGGCAGAAATCACATGCGAACAATGCAGTTGTCACTGATTTCCTTTCATGACATGAAGAACATGGCAGAGGACAGCAATCTGAATGGTAGCGCTTTACTCACCAGACATTACACTGATGCTTCAGTGTAGTGTACCATTACACCTATTCCTGTATTATAGATTTAAGTGTCAGGAAACTTATTGTAAAAACTACTGGCCCAGATTATGTTGGAAAAATAAATAAGTTCATGGTACATTAATCATACATTAAGGAAATCCAGCAATTTGGGATGATGAGAAATTAGAATTCTCTGCAAATTACTGGATGATTAGACCGCCCTGATATTAGTCTCCCAATTACTAAAAAAGTGCAAACTTGGTGCGAGACTCTCTGCTGAAATTAATTTTGGGTCCTGAAATTGTTGGACTTACACTGTTAATACAAACTAATCCCACCAAAACGATTAAAGATTTAAGGATGATAATTCAAGTAATGGTCTGATTTATACCCCAACATGGTATTCAACCTTAGAGACCCAGAAAGGGATCAATAAAGCTGTGAAATCTCATTCTAAGAGACAGAAAATCTTCCTTGAGGATTTTGAAAATAGTTTAACATATTTTTGAGCCAGTCTTCGCTCTCACACTTCTGTCCATTGTTTCATGTAACATGAAGGTAGGAAACTTATCAAACTTGGCCCCTTTTATCATCTGGGATCCTACAAAAGCAAAACTACTGTTCTTGATCATGAAATTTTCCTTTCTGTCTCTTTCCTCTCTCTGCTTCTAAATTGACTCTAATTCACCCTATTTGTTTTCGAACAATGTATTTCACTAGCAAAGACACAGGACGTTGTGCAGGATATTCATGAGATTCTTAATGCAATGTTAACTTTGTCATTAGAAATTCGGCCTCCAGAAATTTGTGTTGGAAATAGAGGGCAATGTGAAGAGTGAGGAGAAAATCCAAGTTTGAGTTGCTTTCTGCAAGATGTGTTGATCCAGCAATTTTTAACCATTATAGTTGTAAATTAAGTTAGAAATTTCAGATCAAACACTGCTCCAACAATATCCTTTTCCAATACCTTTCACTCACTCTTTGCTAGTTTCTCTGCATTCTCATACAAGTTTTCCCAGATATTGGCAACCCTTAATAGTTTGCATGCGTCACCACAGTAAAGTCTTAAGAAATAAAAAAGATGTGTCTGACGCATATATTCCTGAGGATTGTGGTCAAATGATCTTAAGACTTTTTTAAAATAATGAATATTTATTAATTCAAAAATAAAATATATAATAGAAACATTTCACTCTTGTGCACAAGACTGCTTGTGAAACTAGATCAGATTTCAAATTCCAAAAACATCTGGAAAACAAAGCTTGAACCTAATAGTTGGAACAATGTTGAAGGGTGGAAGCAGGTGCCTTGAATGATTCCTACATCTACAACAAAATGTCAGACCCCTTTACAAGCAATCACTTAAGGCCTAAGCTCCTCATATATAAGGCTGTGGACCACTATATAGGTCAATGTTTCCAGTGATTTTATCCAATATTGCTCTGTGACTTTATCCCAGACCTCAGTCCTAAATTCAGACTTCAGCTTAGCTTTGTGCATCAGTTACCAAGGCTGAAACTTTAAAGGATAGTCTCCATTTTACTGGAATGCTGCACTGAGCAAACCCAAATAATGTGGTGATGTTATTGGGCTGAACAGAACTGTATGCATCAACACCTGAAATATGATATGGAAAGTTGGGTTTGCTTTGTGTCCCCGACAGCCGTGGTATTCACTTGGTTCTGTGATATTGTGATCAAGTACAACAACTTACTTACTTTCATGTTCTCCACTTAAAGTTTAAAATTTTGAATCAAAATTTGGTTTAAAAGTATTTTGTTTTCTTAATACCACCCCTCTCCCAAAATTCAATAATCCACTTATGCAGTTTGCAGCCCACCTGAATTATACCTCTGCAGGTCACACAGAGTACAGCCTTGTCAGCTAGGAAGGAGACATGTGGTGTCGGGGAAGAAGGACAAATAAAATCAAAAGAAATCTTTCTCCAAGTTACTAACTGAATATATCTTAATGTTCTCTTCTGATGCATAAAGGGAAATAAATCAGAGAGACATTAGAAATTATTTCCTTGCAACACAAGCCTGAGCCATTCATCTAATCAAGCCTGCTTGATGCACATCAATACATACTCTTAGCTATGATTATAATTTCAAATCTTTCAGATCTCTCTTCTCAATCAAAATTATTTCTGTTTGGCATGACACCTTTTTAAATTGCTTTATAATTAAGTTAGCTTTGTTTTTGCTTTGGAGCAAAATATCAAAGATTTATCTTGTTTGTTAATCACAGTTCCATAACATTTTAGATGGAAAAAGTAATTTAATGCCAGCACCAGATTTCTTTTTGCACACTCCAGTCTCAACCTGTTGATCTATTACCCCTTAGGGTACCACTGCAATGCACAACCATTTCAACATAGTTATTATATGCTCTATCACTAAATATATGATAAAACATAGGCAGTAATGTGTTAAAAGGCAAAAACACAGCAAAGCCTTGAGATGGTCTCTCAAACTGTAAGAGAGAATTTTGGACAATCAAACATGTTCAATTTTGTGTTATTCTGTCTAATACAAACAAGTGGGGTTTGTGGAAAGCCATTTTACTCTACTTCTAGGCAATTTTGTTTGCAATGCTCCTATCTTCAGACGTATTATTATTTGATATCCAAACGTGGACATGTACTGAATCAGAAGTCTTGAACTAAAGTGCTATTGTTGTGAGTAACCTCAACTGCAACATCAAAATTTACTTCATTGCATGTTAAAAGGGAATAACAGATTGTAAACATATTATAAGAAATACATCTAGATGAGTTCACCAAAATATAACAATATTGTTATTTCACGTACGTGAGGCAAACTAAACTCTGTCTTTCTACACCAACCAAGTATCAACTATGGTCTCTACTTCCATTTAAAAGCAATTTGCCTTATAGGCTAAAAGGTAAGTCGTCCTCAAAGTATGATCTTATATTGCTCTATTATATAGGCAGTTTGAACAGACAATATGTGAAGAATAAGTCAAAGGAGGTATCTGTAGACAGTAATTGTCTCTAAAGAAGTGCTGGGTCTTCTCGCAGAAGCAAGTGGTTGGAATTTTACAGCTATTTCTTGGGCCGTTCCAAAATGTTTAAAAATTTTCCTCTGGTCATTTCTCGTGCTGAAAAATAAAAATTTGAAAGAACATTAGTATTTATGGAATAATTTTTTAAATTGTTTCTATCATTCCCACTTCCCCTTGAAGAGGATATGGTTTTATGGTAGTTATAATTTAGAACTCATACCTGGACTCTCAAAGCATTGAACCATTGTACACTAAACACTCCAAGTTCTGAAGGATGTGTGAATTCCAGATGAATTATCATGAGGAAGCTGACTTCATCCTCCTGTTACAGGCACATCTGGCAGAAGTAACAACTGCAGAGTCCTTGCAAAGAAAAAAATCTTAAACTGAGGATACCCATCATTGAATACTGTGGGGACTACTGCACTGCTAAATGTGATATGCTAAAGACAAATCTGGCAGCCTAGTCCTTCACTGCTTGGGTATGAAGAAAGTGTCCTTGGCTGACCTGTAATTAGCTATTTCCTACCATAAGGTCAGGGAAAATTACCATCACAACCCCAAGAAGTCAGACTACTTCTGATCATGAATGAGTCTCCTAACATCAACATTTTGAACGTCACCACTGACCAGAAGCTTAATCGGACCAGCAATACCAAAAATATGAAGGTACAAGAATACAGCAGAGGCTGCGTAGTCTACAGTGACTGGATTATTTCCTGATTTCTCCAAGCTTTTCCATCACCTAAGAAATTTATGTCCGAACTGATATGCAATACTGACCGTTCACCTGGAAAGATACACCCACAACAGCGCTCAAAAAGTCTCATATGATCCAGGATTAGGCAACTAACTTGTTCATTGTCCCTGCCATTACATCCAATATTGACACCATTTAACTCTAACGCATTGTGGTTGCAGTACGCAGTATTGTTCAATGCATCAACTCAACAAGGTTACTTTGACAGCACTGCCCCAACCTAGTCCACCAAGAAGAATAAGTGTAGCAATGTTCTCAAAGATAAATACCTGCAAATATCTATTTTCAAGTCATTTGGAGCTATTTTACTGATTTCCTTGTGTTCAATTTTATTTATCACTTGAAGATAAGACAAAACAATAAAACTAAAAACATTCACAACAGGGCAGAGGGAACTTCAATCGATTTCCAACTAAACCGTCCCTACACACAAGAGTACTCCTAGTCAGCACCATCTGTAAAATAATGACAAGGTGTTCCATTTCCTAACACTGACATTCCACATCTTCATAAAGCTATAAACCTAACTAAATGTGTTTTCTGTAAAGGGAAATGTTAACTCACCAAACTGAAGTTATAATAAAATTAGTGATTTTATTGCAGACTTAATATTTCTATGATTCAGGCGTTGTTTCAGGTTCCTGTATAACAATCTGAAATTAGGGATTATTGACAGGCAGCTTTCAAGTACCTAGCGCTGAGATGAAAAGGTCAGCTTGTTTTTCAATCAGCTGTCAAGTTTTAGTCAATAACCAGACTCCTGCCACTGGCACCTGCCAACAAACATGGAGGGGACAGTGTTGTATCTATCAATAACTGACAACACCAATTACATTGTTGTGGAGTTTCTTCAATGTGCAGGACAGCTTCAGCTCTAAGGTGGCCTTTGTAACCACCAAATCTCTCAGCAGTCTGACACTCTTAAGGCACCAATTTTAAAAAAATAACAGGTAAATGGGATCAAGATTGAAACATGCCCAGTGGTTTTGCAGAATATAATAAACAATGGTCGGTGAAATTTAAGCAACCTATTGTCATTAACTGAACCTCAAGAATGTGCTTTATCATAAGTGCATTTTCAATACTCTCTCGTGCAATAAATTTTCAACATAGCGTACAATCATCATCCAGACTTGGAAATATATCTCCATTCCTTCAGTGTCACTAGGTCAAAATCCTGGAATTACTTCCTTAAAAGTATTGTGGGTCTACTGCAGCAAGTAGACTGCAGTGATTCAAGAGGGCAGCTCATCACCATCTTCTCAAGGGCATCTAATGGTAGTCAATAAATGCTGGCCCAGCCAGCAACACCCACATCTCATGAATTAAGTTAAAACATTTACAGTTGTTATGGTATTAGACTTGCAGTACACAATATGACACTTTCTGATTTGTTACAAAAATGACCACAAACCCTGTTAGATCTTTATAAAGTCTCACCTGGCTCACTTCTTTCCTCCCTACTGAGGCCAAACTGCACATGACTCCAATCCCACATTACTTGATTGAATTCTAATGCCTCAGAAGCATCATAGCCATTCCAAACTAATGATCATTACATACTCAAAGATTCAAGATGGCAACCTGCCACTGAATTCTAACGGAAACTAGGGATGGGCAACAAATGTTAGCTTTGCCAGTATCACCCATTAAAAGGGATGAGAAAGGTACATGAAATTATAACTTATAGTTGTGATCAATTAGAACAGCAGTCAGCCATTTATTGCACACAAAAAGTTTCCTGTCTCTAAAAAGCAACAAGGGCAACAGTAATATGAATGTAATTTTAACACGTGGTTAATCATCTCATGTAGCCCTGGGCTTCCTATTCTTTTTCCTTTTGTGACTCCATTTACAGGCTTGCAAGTTGCCATGCTTCAGACCGTGAGTTGTGGGTAGGGTAAAGGGATTGAGATTTGTGAGTGGTGATCATGTGGGGTGCAGGAGAGGCTCTTAACTCTGTTTTTCTCTCAACAAATGCTATCAGACCTGTAATGATTCTTCAGCACTCTTTTTTTTGTTGCAGATTTCCAGTATCCACAATGTTTTATTATATAATTTAGTCTATCAACTTCAGATTATTAACTTTGATCCTATTATAAGTGTTAAACGGCAAGTGCTGGTGATGATTTTGCTTTATCTATTTTCACTTTCTCTGGAGCAATTTTTGTGTTTTTTTACTTGTCCTATTATCATCGCTTCTTGCCTTGGACTATCATTCCTTTCATCAATTAATTCGTTCTGCTTTCCAACCTCTCAGGCCTTCTATTTTGTTCTCCCATGACCCATTTCCCTGTTTCTGTACTTGCTTAAAATCTGTTACATCTAACCTTTCCCAGCTCTCATGAGCAATCATCAACTCGAAACATTAACTCTTTTTCATGTCTCACAGATGCTGTCAAACTCCTACTTAAAATCAAGACCTTCAGGAAGAGAAAGAAATGAACAAATGTTTAAAAACAAAAAGCAGAAAATACTTAACCATTACTTAAAAATATATTAAATATCATAGCAGTGGAAGTCATTAACATTACCTTCACCACATGCATCCATTAAAATGCAATAGTAACATTTAATGATCAGTATGCTCATCCAATTTTTCAAACAGTATTATGCACTCTTCGAGTTTTCCAATAACAAAATTTGTATATATTAAATCAGAATTGGTAGAAAGATAAATAGGATTAATTCTGCAGTAACCTAAATTGATTTTATCATCTGAATCCTGAGATTAGGTTGCAACCTTAAGCTAACTTCCATTAACTGCTTGGTATTTGCTTTTAATAATATAGATGGCCTCATTTTGTATGTTGGCTTTGATTCCATTTTAAAGTCTACTGTAGTCTTTTTGCTCACTGGTGACTGTATAGATTATGTTCCCACAAAAATTAGATATCTTCCATCACCAAAAGGGTGACAAGTGTTTCATGTGGATTGAGTTTTCAATCAGTATATGAATACAATTCAGTATACAAGACTATGAGGTGTTCTAAAGAAGAGTCTTTGGACTCAAAACATTAACTTTTGCTCTCGCAACAGATGCTGGGGGTAAGATATTTTTGATGAACCTTTTCAGAAACTTTATGATACACCTCTGGAACAGGTAGTCCTTGAACCCAGATCGTCTAGCCCAGAGGTAGTGACACTTTAATGAGGAGTGAAAAATGACTGAAACTGTGAGGACCTGACTTTGCCTGAAATTAAAATGTTTAAGTCGGTAAGTACATGATTAGTACTTGGAGAACTGCCTGAAATAGTCAACATGTTTAATAGCATTTAAATTGTCCCTTTTTAATGACCACCTTTGGTAATCCAAACAGTTGCCCTACTATACCAAGCCATACTTGTTAAGAATACATGACGAAAGCGGTGGACCAGTATTTAAAACATACAATGTTCAACTTATATCATGCATGATTCTATCTTCTTTACATGGTTGTTATATTGAAACTTATCTGATCATTGGTTAGCATTAAGTAACCTTTCACCTGGTCTGAAATAGAGTTCTCCAGTTATACATTAAAAAAACTTAATCAATCTATTCAGCCATGTTATGATGCATCTTCAGGCAGATGGATCTTGAAACCAGACCTTCTAGTGGTACGGAAACTACCGATGGACCACAGAAGCCCTGTTTCCAATGTAATCTAAACCAGCTTGACCTCTGCCAAACTGTATACCTAGCAGATTAGAGGGAGTTTTGGAAAGAGGACTTGAATTATCTAAGGACATTCATGAAATCCACAAGAACAATTAATAAAAAAAATTTTAAAATGCTCGAAATATTCAATAGCTCAGGCAACATCTGTGGGAATGAAAAAAGCAGAGTTAATGTTACAGGACGGTAGCCTTTCATTAGAATGTGAAATTCACAAATTTGGTTGCACTACTTATTTCAAAAAGTTGTCACTGCAAAGGCTCAATCATCACAATCACACATCCATTCTAAATGCAATACAATAATGAATTTTTTGGAAGTAGTCATAGCCTACTGAATGTAAGGGAAATTTTGAAGGGGGAGAAAAAGATGGAAAGAGATGAGGGGGAAATACGTACATCAGAGAGGAGAGGAAGGTAGGAAATCAGAGGGAAAAGAGAAATCAGTCATGTAGTTTAGGAGAGAAAGAAGAAAAAGAAAAAGAGACAGAGAGAGTAGAATGAAAAGTATGACTATTTTGGCTTCTGCTACACACAATGTCTGTTGCTAGCTAATCAAGATAAACAGTGTCTCCATTTCAGAGAAGGCCTAAAATTTCACACTATTTCTAATATATAATTTCAACTGTAATACACTGCACAATGCTATCAATAACTACAATCTTATAAACTGGTGTAA